GCTGGATATGTATGTCGCTTGATCAAATTAATTTAAGATCTCATTTGTTGAGTCTTGATATGAATCTCCGTTTTGCAAGCGGCGAGTATAATGCAATAGACTTGTAGCGCAAGTTGTTAAGAGAATTTACCGTTGAACTCTACATTCTGTGTTCGATTCCTCCGTTCTCGTATTGCTCCTTACACCAGAATCTAGAAAGTTCCTTTGATCAAGTAACAAAAAAGGCAGGGATTTCATTCAGATAAGTTTTAATCGAGTCATGGTCTAAAGTATATTTCCGTATTCAATGCATGCAGATAAGTCTTGATGAACGGGGAAAAAGATAAGTCCTGATTAACGTGGAAAAAGAAACTTTACTTGAGTCACGGTCCAAGTATATTTCCATATCACTACCTCATCGGCCATCGCAGTATAGTGTCCACGATTATCAACTATTAATGTATTTTAAAGATTTATCGGTAAAAATTATCATTTTAAACATAATATACATTTTGATTTAGTAGTTAGAAGATTCATTTTGACCTCCCAACTGCACGCCCAAAATACCACACTAATATATTTTGGTTGCCCATCCCTGTATACACAAACTCTAACACAAGAATTTCTCCATGCCTAGCTCCTCCCCACAAAGAACAACAACGAAAGAAGTCTTAGTATAATCCTAGAGCGCTACCGCATTAATTTTTTTGTTAGTTCCAAGTATTGATCTATGTCTTTTCTTAAAATCTTTTTTCAAGTCTTAATGTCTTTCTCTCCCCCTCTTGGTATAAGCCTCTATCTGTTAACAATATTTTTTAACCGGAGCTCTGTAGTAGGTATTTGGATTATATGTTCAAATCAGCTAAACTGATTTTCTCTTATTTTATCTTTAACTGCGACTACTGGTACTTTACCTCGTTCTTAGTCTTGTCATTTCACACATCCACCAAAATACTCTCATCTGCTATACTCATTTTCTGCATGTGAACCTAGCCCCTCCCCATTAAAGAAAAATATGTACGACAAACTAGAAGTACTAAGAAAATCTTACCTTCTAGTTAGAAGCTTTGATTTCTCAACCGGGTGGTTTGATGAAATACCAAAGCCCAAAATTCGCAAGTGGCCTTTGCTACAGTAGTGGCAGAAGAATGTTGAGCTTTTAAATAACTATGTAGGTTCAAATTGCATCAGTAAGTAATTTAATATCTAATTTAACAAATCTCCTTTTTGAAAGAAAAAAAAAATAATCTTACACAAAACTCGGTGGTGACCTCCTGCGCTTAAACCCTAAACCTTACTACTTCTCTCTCTTCTCTCTCTCCTCTCTCTCTCTCTCCCCTCCGTCCCAAAATCAAAGAAAGAAATGCTACTGATAGCTCGAACTCACTCTCTCTCTAAGCTCAAACCCCTCCTTTCCCTCTCTTTCCTCACCCAATCCTTCCCATCCCAAGCCCCACTTCCAAATTTCACTTCAATCCCAAAACCCCATTTCCCAATTCCCACAAATTCTCAACCTTTACCATTCTCCGCCATTCGCTTCAACCCATTTTCTTCGTCCCAATCTTTGCCCTTGAACCGCGAAGGAAATTACGATGATACCACCGCCGCAGCTCGCCATGTCTGCTGTGGGTGTGGAGTTCACATGCAGGATTCCGACCCCAAACACCCGGGATTCTTCCTCAAGCCCTCGAAGAAGGATCCGAGGACGTATCGATTGGGGACCCATCTCGAGCACGTTGGGCAAGTGCCGGATTTCAACGATTCCCTCAAAAGGGGTATGATAATCGAACCCGAAAACTTGAGCTCTGAGGCCGATTTGGTGGGAGTCAAGGCCGAAAAGCCTGTGGTCTGCGCACGGTGTCACTCTCTGAGGCATTACGGGAAGGTGAAGGATCCGACGGTGGAGAACTTGCTACCGGATTTCGATTTTGATCATACCGTTGGGAGGAAGTTGGCTTTGACGTCTGGGACCCGATCGGTTGTGCTAATGGTGGTGGATGCTGCAGACTTCGATGGGTCGTTTCCGAAAAAGGTTGCGAAGTTGGTTTCGGATACAATCGAGGAGCATTCCACAGCTTGGAAACAGGGAAAGTCAGGGAATGTGCCGAGAGTGGTGCTTGTGGTGACAAAGATTGATCTTTTGCCAAGTTCGTTGTCGCCCACGAGGTTAGAGCATTGGGTTAGGACTAGAGCAAGGGAGGGCGGAGCAAGTAAGATAACGAGTGTACATTTGGTGAGTTCTGTGAGGGATTGGGGGTTGAAGAATCTTGTTGATGACGTTGCTAGCTTGGCAGGACCAAGAGGGAATGTGTGGGCAATAGGGGCGCAGAATGCCGGGAAGAGTACGCTGATAAACGCAATAGGGAAGCATGTTGGAGGGAAGATTACACATCTGACAGAAGCGCCTGTGCCCGGAACAACATTGGGAATTGTTAGAGTGGAAGGTGTTCTTCCTGGTCATACCAAGTTGTTTGATACTCCCGGGCTTTTGAATCCTCATCAGATTACAACTAGGTTGACGAGAGAGGAACAGAGTCTTGTAAACATTAGCAAGGAATTGAAGCCAAGGACATACAGAATCAAGGTAAGCTTACTTGAGCATCAAGTACCTTACAGTGTTTTTTTGTGTATTTGGTTATTAGAAACCTTTGAATAAACTGTGCTGTAGTACTCATTGCAAACTCGCAGTAATGTGTTTATCCCAGTGCAAATAATTCAATAACACAAACCATGTTTATAGATTGAATCTAAAAGCTCAAGTTTTGTTCGTATTGCTAAGCACCCATCGCTTCAATTGTTTAAGTATGATGCCTTTGTCTGTTTTGCTGGTCGAGGAAAACTTGAGAGGTGTCTTCAATTGTTTAAATATTGGATGTCCATTTACCACTGACTAGTACTTAACTTTTGCTTCTGCGTTTTTTTTTTTTTTTTTTTGGTGTGTGTAAAGCTCTGCTTTGCTACTTTTTGGATTCTGTTAAAATGCATAGTTCATTGTCGATCTCAGAATATCGTTGTTGCAAATTTAGATTCCATGTGATTACTTAATATTTTTTCCATTTATTATAGCTCATTTTTCTTGTCCTTTGGTTGTTACAGGATGGCTATTCAGTTCATATTGCTGGGCTTATGAGGCTGGATATAGAAGAATCATCAGTAGATTCTGTTTATGTTACGGCATGGGCATCTCCTTATCTTCCGCTACACATGGGAAAAACTGAAAATGCCTGCACAATGGTAGAGGAACATTTTGGTCGTCAATTACAGGTATTAGCACTAGGTGACGAGTGATAATTCTACAATTCTTGGTTTCTAGTCTGGTAGTCATTAGTCTTACTGATTTTCAACATGTTACCTGTTGGAGAGATTTGAATTCACATATACCAATAAGGCAACGCATATATATGCATATATATATGTGTGTGTGTGTGTGTGTATATATGTATATGTAATACCAGTCTGTTTGCTGATTCTTTTTAATTTCTAAATTCAGGGTATAAGTTTTCTGTTTTCCTGAATAATATAAATTTGTTGAGAATCAAGAGATTTGTGTAGGCTTCGGGCTTCCTAATGTCATTAAATCTTGCACCTAGTTATGATGCTTGAAATTCCATATTTAGATACGAGGCTGTGATAAAAGATGAGGTGTGCTCTCCATACACCCCTTTTTACTTCTCACACACCCTTCTAATTTTTGGCTGTCGAATCAGATGAATTGAAGAAGATCAAATGACAGAAATTAACAAGGGGTGTGTGAGAAGTAAAAAGGGGTGTGTGGATAGCACACCCCTAAAGATATGCTTATCATTAAATCTTTGAGGGGAACACATGATATGGTTGTATATATATATGTAGGTGTAGTTCTGATGCCAAAATGAACTTCCCATTGTTTCAGCCACCAATTGGAGAGAATAGAGTCAAGGAGCTTGGGCAGTGGGTGAGAAAGGAATTTCGAATCAGTGGAAACAGTTGGGATTCAAGTTCAGTAGATATTGCTGCTGCAGGTCTTGGTTGGTTTGCTGTTGGACTTAAAGGAGAGGCAGTTGTGAGTGTTTGGACGTACGATGGTATTGACGTTGTTCTTCGCAATGCATTGCTTCCTCATAGATCATACACTTTTGAAGTTGCTGGGTTTACCGTCTCTAAGATCGTTTCCAAGGCTGACCAAGCTTCAAATAAGCCACAACACAAAAGTGAGAAGAAGAGGAAACAAAGCGACCAGAAGGAATCTGTTGCGTGCTGATTCGGTACTTAATTCCTAACTTACCACCCGAAGCAGGCTCAACTTATTTTGACGACTGGAAGTGTTAGCAAGTAAGAGAGAAAGTTCTTATGAAAATGGAAAACCGGAGTTGTGACAATTTACAGTTGATATGCTACCGGTGAGGACAATTTACAGTTGATATGCTACCGGAGTTGTGACAATCTTCTTGAGCCACCGACGAAACTGTTGATTCTTTCTCCGACCATGGAAGGGGTGGATGTTCCACATTGGGATGATCTTTATGCGGTATTGATATTTAAGAATGACAACTCAAGGCGGCGTTTCTTCTTAAGTTAAAACAAGCACAACTTTTGCACAACTCAACACGAATATGTTCGGTTAGCTGACTTTGCATATTGACCTTATTTGCAGCGGATAATGTGCATAACTAAGGTTTAGCCTCAGTAGATAATGTTTTTACTGGGTTTTAGGATCAGTCGCTCGCACATTTGTGGGTTGATGTGTACAGTTGATGCTTCTTCCTAACACATCAACGACGCACAATCAATCATCACAATGCATAAACGTTTCATAGTCGCACAAATTGAACTTTCGTGAGGCGAATTTGTGAAACTACCGAGATTAAATAACTTTCGCCTCAAAACAAAGCTCCTGCCGTGTTCACCTTCGCCTCAAAAGGAAATGAAATTAGCAGACAAAGACTCAGAATTTGCAGCCAAAATCTATCTGCAAGCCATTAACTGAGGAGAAATCCTTCAAGATCTTCGGCGAGTGGTTTGCAACTTAATAGAGGAGAAACTACGTTTGCGGAAATCACTTCCCAAAAAAAAAAAAGTTACAAGAAACAGTAGTACTTACATAACATTATGAATTGCAAAATATAACACTGAAACAAAAGGAACACAATTTTCCAGCTAAGCTACTGTAAACTCGGACAGTACCAACTCACTCCCCAAGTGAATTCGGTTTCAATGCTATCATAAAATTTTTTGGATCTTCCAAATTTCCGGCCATCTAAGTAGAAAGGATGAGAAAAATCACACATGGTGGTTTTACTATGTCCAGAATTCTCAACACAAAACATGTTGTCGTCGTCAATTCCTCCTAACTCCACAAAATAAATGCAGTTCGCTTCCAACCCGTTAGAATTACTCACCGGAAAGGAAAAGGAACAGCCTCGGCTTGTTACAAATAATATTTGATTTCCCAAACTCTGTACCTCGATAAAGCTTTCACCATTCTCCGGATCGATCTTGTAAACTAGAAAATCATGAGTCCTTGTCCAGGTATTCAAATCGGTTTTCATTTGATCCCTAATTTGACGGATCAACAAGACTTCGTTGCTGGTTGTTGATTCTATCAAATATGACTCGTCTTTGACCTTGACATCCAAAAAGTCACCTTCACCCCAGCAATTGAATGAACCCTTACGTGATTTTTCTTTGTCATAAACCAACTTCAATTCCAGCTCATCACCATCTCCAAGGCGTAATGTGCAAGTTACAACGTGTCCAAACATAATGTTTTCGACTAAGACATATAGCATGCCACAAGACGAAAACAGTAGGCATGAAGGATACGTTTTTCTATCCCACATCCGAGATATTCTCCAACCTTTTTTGGCCTGCACACACCAATTTCCCCAGAAGAAAAAATTGCTGCCACCGTACATTCTGATAGATTTGAACTCGATAGGGCAATTTTGTCAACATATCGGTCGGGTTTTCCACCAAACTTCTTGAAATATGGGATTCTTCTCAAGGAAGGAAGTTCGTGTTTGGCTCCTGAAAAGGGTTTAGTAGAAATACTTCAGAGTGTTCTTCATTGACCATTATCAACCAACCTTTGGAGGAACTATGAAAGCGCCCTTGATTTCGCTTAGGCAACCCTAGCTTGATAACTTTGCCTTCAGGTGGGATGGAGAACTCCAAGTAACTGGAACTCGGTTGAGTTCCAAATAATAACCAGGAAGCTGCTTCAGATGGGCCTACTAACCATGGGAATGGCGGAGCACTGCGGATAATTTGCATAACAATCATTCTCCAGTACTTGCAGAGGATGCTTAAGCGAATCCGATCAAGTAAGTCGAGGCGTTGTACGATATTCTCCATGATATCCAAAGGTGGTCTCTGCCAACACCCATCTACAACTAACCATAGCCATGCCAATCAATCAGTCCTAACTCATGAACAACAAAAACAATTCCAAAAATCCAAGTGTCAAAAGAAACAAAAAAAGCAATCGAATTACCTTCAACCTCGTTGACGCTGTTATTCTTCTTCTCCAAGCCCTGCATGCCGATCTCCTTCTCCTTGCTGACGTTGAGAACGGGGCACGCGTCGTCGGGGAGAGCCAAGTCCTCGTTCGTCTCCTTCGGCGCCAGCATGTCTAGTCCTCGTCTATTTTCTCGATAGCGCTAGATAACAATTCCTACGAGGATTATAGAACGAGTGGGTGAGGAAGACGAGGGTTCTATTAATGGTGTGATTTTTGTGAGTTCTAGGTTCTAGGTTTCATCCAACGGCCAGATTAATTAATGTTTTCCATGACGGCATGACCCAAAAATTTTGGATCAAACCCAAAAAACAAGAAAAAAAATTCTATGACCCCACAATGAACCCTAATTTATTAGCTCCCAAAATCTAGTCATAAACCCTAATTTCATCTTTTTATACCATATTTAGGTATTACCAAACCAATGGAGCAAGGGTTAACTCCACAGCTGGTCCACATGTAGGTCTATTACGGGCCGCGTTTGAGAGATCACATGATGTGGCAGAAGATAGTTGGTTTCCTTCTCTCTAGCATCACCTAGAAAGAAAACATAAATACATCTATACTTAAAAAGGCATTCTAAAACCCTAAACCTCCGGCTCCTAACACGCCCCAATCCCGATATCCACCAAACACCAGATGGGCACGTGTTGGCCTACACCTGAGGGTCACGAAGCCATTTTAATATGCATGCAAGTTATAAAGAAAGAACGAACATAAATAAAATATATAAATTTATAAACAATGATATATGCAAATGCGGAAACGTGTTCAGAGCATACGACTACTCAAGAATACTACAAAACGTATATTATAAAAAGATATGAACAAATGAATGGATCCTACACTGAGAGAACTTTAAGATACCTATTCGATTCTAAGTCCTAAAGAGGGCACAAAACAAAACGTGAGTGGACTAAAGTCTAATAATAATAATAATAATAATAATAAACCGTTTTTCTTTCGAAACATAGTTTTGAAAACACATATTACTAAATAGTAGGTTTTTTGAAAACTCTAACATGTCATGAAAACGCTCGTACGATAAAATCATAACTAAGTGATATCAAAATCGCCCAAAGGCAAATCCATAAAAACTCATAACTCAAAACACTAATGTATTCAAATAGGGGTATCATAGTCGCCCAAAGGCATATCCATCACCCGAGGGTGAAGCTGTACGACACTGGATTATGTTAGTGAAGAAATATGGTAGGCCCATCATCCGAAGGTGAAGCTGTATAACTCTGGGTTACGTCAGAGAATAAATGGTACATAACACACCAACACTAGCCGTGGTTAGTGAAGTTGTATGACACTGGTTTCACCAGTAAAGTTGGCAGTATGTCATAAATATCTCACTGATCCTCAACTGTATCCTATGACATACGTATACATACTCAAGGTATGAATACCCACTAATTAAGCACATAAAACGTAATTCAAAATCTCATACCAAGCTTAGAATTCAAAACCTCATCATCCGAAATCATAAGCAATTCCATAAACGTGGTTTCCATAAATATAAATTTTCATAAACTTTAAATTAATAACTCATGAATATTTCATAAAAGCATTTTAGATAAATCATAAATTCTTCATAAATTATAAGTCCAGAAATCTGTAAAAACATATCATAAAATATAAATAATTCATGAATGTAGAATTATGAAATCATATTTCCATGAATGCAAATCTAATATTTTTATAAAAACATGCAATTTAAGAAACGATCCACTCACAAATATTCTGTTACCGGGAAGCCAATCGAACTAGGGAGGATGGGATCACTTCCAACCAATACACCTAATCACAAATAGGAACCATTTATTAGAACTTTATTAAAACGATTGAATTTGGGAAAATAGACGGTGGATTCAAATTCAGTACGTCGAAAAATCTAAAAAAGGATCTCGGGTTCCGCCACACACTGCCGCATGCACCACCACGGGACGGCAGGGTCCGGGGCACCACGCACCACCCCACGATTTTCTAGAATTTTTCCAGATATTTCCTCCAACTTCAAGAGCCTCATTCCAAGCTCGATACAAGTCCAAATCGAGTGATTCAAAAGCCAAAATGTAGTTAGGAATGTGGAGAAGAGATTCATACCCTTAGAAGCCCAACGGAGATTGGAGTTAGCCAGAAAAATGGCTGGAAGGTGGCCAAACGACCACGGTTTCAAGTTTTCCAGAAATGAACAGTGACTTCCCTTGTGTTTTCCGAGTTCCTACGCCACCAAAACCACCCAAAAACTTACTAATCGTGAACCTAGACACGATCTACAATGATGGGACCAATTTGGTGAGAATTCGCCGGAGAAGTTCCTTGCACAGTAACCGCACTGTGCAGCGCGGGAAGGGAGATTTTAAATGATTTTTCTCCTATTTTCTGGTTCAAGAACTCACAGGGATTACAAGGGAAGGTGATGGTGCAGTCTAGTTGTTATTGTAGGTGTGTGGGTGTGTGTGTGTGTTCGGCAAAGAGAGGGAGAAAAGAGTGAAAGAGATGAGCGAGGGAGAGAACACAGAAGAATGAGAGATTAACAGAGAGAGGTACACGGGGCAGAGAAGAATACCACAGAAAACGGTGGAGAACTTGCTACGTGTCATCCCATGAGTTATTCAAGATGGAGAAATATCTCCTTATGTGAGATTACATAAATGACTTTGACGTTCAAAAATTAGTAAAACTTTGTTCTAGTTTCGATTTCAATTCCGTTTGTGTTTACGCATTCATAATGACAAGTGCGACATGAATAAGTTAAAATAATAATTTCTACATGTCATAGAGCGGGAGTTGACAGAAGTGAACACTTTCATCGCTAAGGGTATTTTAATAAATTTATCCACTTGGAACGTAAAATTCAAAATGAGTCGTTCCCACTCCTATTTGTTTTGATGATCTATACTCAACGTCTTCTACCTTTTCTCTTTTGTCGAAAATTCTGCTGACAAGTGCGATGCAACATCCATTGTCTCTTTTACGAAAACAGGCTGCAACAGGTCTTGATTATGCTTTTCTCCTAATTGCAGCTCCTCTTGAACGGCACCGTACTTTCGTTGCTAATCTTTTCTTTTGTCTGTCATCTGGTTGGTTGCTGTCGAAGAAAAGCCCTTGTGCATAAATGGAGTAGTAGTTCCAGTAGTTGCAGGCAGTGCCGTATTTGCTTGGAAGATTTTGTCGAAGGCGAGTCCTGTCGTGTTCTTGTGACATGCAAGCACACCTTCCATTTGATATGCATTGATGCTTGGCTCAAATTTCAGCTAATGTGCCCCATTGTCGTAATTTTGTTCGTACAACATCACTTTGGTTAATTAACTTAGAGGTTTCCGGTAACCTCAATAGTTTCACTGATCCATTCATGTGCTAGTCGAACTCAAGACATGCTTAGTCGCACCAAAACAAAGAGGGTCACTGTATGGCGATGTCTTGATCTTTGCTTAGTATAGGTTTGTTGTATCTATTGTCATTATGATAAATTTATAATTGTGCACTTGTTTTGATGGTAACGGTATAGGATGTAATACTCTTATGTGTTTGTGTGAATTTACCTCCAAATCAGGAATTTGGTGACTAGAGTTTATGCACCCATATTAGCACCGCTTGTAACTATTTGTTCATTAACGGGACCATGCTATCTGATCAAAATCTTATGCTCAAGGATAAATTAAAAAGGAACTTTGGTTGTTCCATGTGTGGCAATATTAATAAGATGGGTGGTATAAGGGCATTGGTGGTAATTTACATATTAGCCAGTGATGATGTGATGTTACTGTTATTTATTTACCTATTTTGTATGGTATAATATTAATAGCAAACGTTTTTCATGATTTTTTTAACACAATCATATATTTACATAAATGGTGTGAGATTAAATTAGTTTCAAACTTGCGATTCATGAAATTTGAATCTTACAACCTTTTACTTATAAGTGAATATAAATTAATTATACGAATGTGCCACTGAGACACTATTTTTTTAATATAAAGTATATCGTAATTCAAACTAATTAAGCTTTGAACAAAAATATCCAAATTCAAGTGCATTAAAAAGAATACATCCTCTATACCCAAACTGATTAACTCAAAAGTCATAACTAACACATCAAGCCTCTGAAATTCTAATCTAACGGCTCAGATTTCATATCACCCAAAAGACCTCATGTGACAAACGTTATCCGGGTTATATTTCGGCTCCATCTGGCCCAGTGACCTCCTTGGCCCAGAATTATGGAGTCCCAGATAAGCGTTAAAAAGCGCATCCAATCCAAATGCTCCTCAGAACCCAATCGTTATCGCTCTTCATCTTCAACCAATCAACAACAGAAACCAGAGCGCATAAAACCCAAGCATTTCAGATCAAACCCACCAAGCAAGATTCGAAGTTTGACATTTTCGACGACCCCACGATGCGTTCTTCATCCAAAACGGCGAGGAAGCTGCAGGTGGCGTCGCCGGTGCCGGCGGACATCGACATTGCCAACTCTGTCGAGCCTCTCCACATCTCTGAGATTGCAAAAGAGCTTAATCTCAGTCCCGATCACTATGATCTTTATGGAAAGTACAAGGCCAAGGTTGGTCATTTGATTCGTTTAGTTACTAACTGGTTAGCGCTCGAGCATGTCTGTCCGTGTAATATGTTCATTTTCTTCATTGGTATGGAAATTTTTTTGAAATTTGATTTATCTGGGTTTATTTTATGGGAACTACAAGGCCAAGGTTGGTCTTTTTTCGTTTACTTATTAACCGGTTAGCGCTCGAGTGCATCTGTATGTGTAATATGTTCATTTTCTTCATTGGTATGGAAACATTTTGAAATTTGATTACTTGGGTTTATTTGATGGGAGATACCAGGCCAAGTTTGGTCATTTGACTCGTTTACTTACTACCTGGTTGGCGCTCGAGCGCTTCTGGATGCGTAATATGTTCATTTTCTTCATTGATTCGGAAAGATTTTAAATTTTGGATTTGCTGGGTTTGCTTTGTAGGTTTTGTTATCAGTGATTGATGAACTGAAAGGATCTGGAGATGGTTATTATGTGGTGGTTGGAGGGATTACTCCTACCCCTCTTGGAGAAGGCAAGTCAACCACTACTGTTGGACTCTGTCAAGCTTTGGGTGCTTTTCAGGATAAGAAGGTTAATTTATCTATTTTTTTTTTTTTTTCGGTATCGAAAATTTTGGGCATACGTTGGTTTTCCCTTTTTATGTTTTCCTTTTTTAAGCAGTTGATCTGGAACATTTAACTGAATAATCTAGAAATCTGAATTGTGTTTACACCTCTTTGTTACGAAAATTCTCGAAACAGAAAGAATAAATTCAGAGGTTACAGTGATTCTTGCTTTGTGTTATTGGTTGTACTTGGTGTTGCTTTAACTTTTTATGTCAAGAAACTGAGGCTAAACGTTAAGGTTGGTGTGTTTAATTGGTGAGGAATGCTCGTAAGAAGGAAAGTGTCGCTGAGCAATACACTGACAAGCATTGAAAAAAAGATTCGTTGTGATTGTCCTTTGTTATTATGATGTTTTATATGCGTTTTTAACTTTAAATTTAGTTCATTCTGTTTTCCCCTTGTTTCTGTGGGTAGAAGTTAAAAGTTTAGTGGTCTCAACACGGTCTCTTCTGACCAAGAAGTTATCAAGCTGTTTCGAGGCACGGGCCTTGGCCCCTAGTCCTGTTTGCTGCATCTGAAGAGAATTTGTTTTATGAGGAAAAAACTAAACTTTTGGATAAGTTCGAACTTTATCAATTAATTTTCGACTTTGTTTTCAAAATGAAAACCTAAGTATTTTAAGCTTATCTTGTATTTATCTACTTTGCTGTTAAGTTTTCTTTCAAGTATTGCAGTTTATATGGAAGACTTAAAACCACAGCAGGTCCTGCAAAAGTAGACACATGCAGCTTTTCCATATTACTTCTTGTTGCTAATGGAAATTTATATTGTTATGAAGACTTAGATAAATATTATTTCACTGTTGACAGCTATATTTGTATGGTCCTGATCCTGTATTCTGTCCTTTGTGACAATAGGTTGTTACTTGCCTTCGTCAACCATCACAAGGACCAACTTTTGGAATCAAAGGGGGTGCAGCGGGTGGTGGTTATAGTCAGGTGATCCCAATGGATGAGTTTAATCTTCACATGACAGGAGATATTCATGCAATAACAGCTGCAAACAATCTTCTGGCTGCTGCCATTGATACTCGGATTTTCCACGAGGCAACCCAATCAGATAAGGCTCTACTGAACCGGTTGTGTCCACCAAACAAAGAAGGAAAACGGAGTTTCAATGACATCATGTTTAGACGTCTAAAGAAGCTTGGTATCTCCAAGACCATGCCCGAGGAGCTTACACCGGAAGAAGTTAAGCAATTTGCTAGGCTTGATATTGACCCAGATTCCATCACATGGAGAAGAGTAATGGATATAAATGATCGGTTCTTGAGGAAGATTTCAATTGGCCAAGGCCCTGACGAGAAAGGGATGGTAAGAGAAACGGGATTTGATATTTCAGTTGCCAGTGAAATAATGGCAGTTTTGGCCCTTACAACATCTCTAGCGGATATGAGGGAGAGGCTTGGGAAAATGGTGATTGGAAACAGCAGGGCCGGTGACCCTGTAACTGCTGATGATCTTGGTGTTGGAGGTGCATTAACAGTGCTAATGAAGGATGCTATTAACCCTACATTAATGCAAACTCTTGAGGGAACCCCAGTTCTTGTTCATGCGGGTCCTTTTGCAAACATTGCACACGGGAATTCCTCTATTGTGGCTGATAAGATTGCACTGAAACTGGTAGGACCAGGTGGGTTTGTAGTCACAGAAGCGGGTTTTGGTGCTGATATTGGTACTGAGAAGTTCATGAACATAAAATGCAGATATAGTGGTTTAACACCACAATGTGCAGTTATAGTTGCAACTATAAGGGCCTTGAAAATGCATGGTGGCGGGCCTGATGTTGTTGCCGGGAAACCTCTTAACAAGGCCTATGTAACTGAGGATGTGGCTTTGGTTGAGGCGGGTTGTGTGAATTTGGCCAAGCATATTTCAAACACAAAAGCCTATGGAGTGAATGTTGTTGTTGCTGTGAACAAGTTCTCAACTGATAGTGAAGCAGAACTAAATGCAGTCAGAAATGCAGCATTGGCTGCTGGGGCATATGATGCCGTTATTTGCACTCATCACGCCCATGGTGGAAAAGGAGCGGTTAGTCTCTTCATCCCATTAACTGATTAGTTTTTACTTCTCTTGTTTACCTGCTGCTGGATAGTACTCTTGGAAACTTCTGCTATAATCTCATATTTGTTCCAAGTATTCCATCTTGTGTGTAGCCTTCAACTGCGGTAAATGGTTGTCATAATAAATGAAGTTTACTGTGATCTGCAGGTGGACCTAGGAATTGCAGTTCAGAAAGCCTGCGAGAATGTTACACAACCACTGAAGTTTTTATATCCTCTGGAGTTTAGTATTAAAGAGAAAATAGAAGCAATAGCCAAGTCATATGGCGCGAGTGGTGTTGAATACTCAGAGCAGGTAAGCTTACGTGCTATTATTCTTCAATTCGGTTGACACTATTTATTCAATCTCTCTTGCTCTCCAATTCATTCATAGATAGACGAGCATTTCCAATGCCAATGGTACAACTATTCCTCTTGTTTTTCTCATTAAAGAAAAGAAATATGTACTGTTTGCTGCAAACAGAACATCAACTTGATTCTTCTACAACCTTTGCAGGATAGACATTTTATTTTCTCTTTTCCCTTATCTTTTGATACCACTGAAGCCAAAGTGTCGTAAACTTTAAACCAGCATAGAGGTTTACTCGACATGCTTATGCTTATTGATACGAGTTTCCTTATTTGTGTGAGTAGGCTGAGAAACAAATTGAGATGTACAGCAAGCAAGGGTTTTCTGGTCTGCCCATATGCATGGCGAAAACCCAGTATTCGTTTTCACATAATGCTTCTGAGAAAGGAGCCCCCACGGGATTCGTCTTACCGATAAGGGATGTAAGGGCTAGCATTGGAGCTGGATTCATCTATCCTTTGGTGGGAACAATGAGTACAATGCCAGGTCTTCCAACTCGCCCTTGCTTCTATGACATTGATCTTGACACCACAACCGGAAGGGTCATCGGTCTTTCTTGAAGATAGTTCTGCATTTGGCTCTCCATTTGTTCAAGCTTCTGTTGTTTATGCTTTCTTGTTGTGCAAGTTTTCTGTATCACTAGTTATTGATTTTGCAAATAAAGAAATCTCTGAGGTTAATAATTATCTTATTGTATGGCAAGAGTTGTTTGAATACAACCACGCATTGTTGTTTCAATGCCTAGTTCAATCTTGTGACAATTGATGATATCTATAACAGTTGGGCCGAAGTGCTTTCATTTTTCAGAGTGGTGCTAACTATAACGTAATCGTATATCAACCGAAAAAAACAGACAAACAGAAACGGTTGACTTTCCAAAAATAAAAAATAAATAACAAAAAGAGAACTCTCGAACTTGATCACTGCATGCTTACATCCAAAAATAGCCAGTATTACCGAATTAATAATTAGTTAACTAATTAACCACAACGTTAACAGAAAAAGTTGCAATAATTCTCACAACAATTGAATCAAACCAACTCCAAAACTCCGTTGCGTCTTCTCTACCATCTCCTTCTCTCTATTTTGAGACAATTACGGTTTGCAATTAAACCAGACTCACATCCCTGTCCTCGGTTAGTTTTCATTGTAACTTACAGTGCAAGTAATACCTTAACCGAAAATGAAACAATCCAAGTTATATAACAATGGCTGGATTCTCCTTGGTCAAATTCAATCAGGCATCATTTGCTTGCAAAACCAATATCAGAGTCAGTGACGGCGGTCTGTCCTCGGCCCTCAGTCGCACACATCTCAGTTAATCCGGATTCGAACATAACCATGAGCATCACAAGCCCGCCTTCCATGAAGCACTCATCACCTACGAAAGCAGAGCCGAAGGCCCCTTGCTTTCAATCTTGTTCTCCAAAAGAAAATCCATGGCCTTCGCTTATGTATTCATGTTTGCCTTCATTGCCTGCACTTTCTTTTTGGTTTTCAGCCCGTCTCGCCAAAACGGCCCTCTTCCTCTCCGCTTCAAGAACCTGCTTCATGCCTCCTTCTACTCTTCTTCTCAGAACCCTAATGCACATTTGGAGCTTTCTCGGAGAGACCCTTTTTCCAGGAAACCTAATTTTTCCCCACAGTTTTATGAGATTGCAAGTTTGAAGGGTCATAAGGTGGATAAGCACGAGATTGGTCTCTCTCAATTTCCGAGAAAAAACGAAAGCTTGAAGGGAGATAATAACAATGCTCAATCATCCAACCCCATTCTTTTATTGTCCAACAACACGGAAATTAAATTTTCTGGGAAAATGGAGGGTTCCAGGAGAAGAACCGAGACCAAGAAGCATGCACATTCACATTCTCCTTCGAAAGATTCAAATGGAAAACGTGGCTCGAAGAAGAAAACTGATAGTAAAAAGGTGTCATCTAAGAAGCAAGGGAAACAGAGTGAGTTGAAGTCCAAGTTGATGAATGGCTGTGACATATTTGATTGGAAGATGGGTGAGAGATGATTCGTACCCACTTTATGCTCCGGGGTCTTGTCCTTCGATCGATGAGCCTTTCAATTGTTTTCTGAATGGAAGGCCAGACAATGGATACGAGAGGTATAGATGGCAACCAAAACGTTGCAATATCCCAAGGTAATTAATTTGCGGACTTTTCTACTTATAATTGGAGTACGCTTTGTTCATACTATGTTTTATTTGCTTTTACTTCTAACCCAAGGTAACCTCTAAGAGTGTTTATACTTCAAGTTGCTCTAAGTTCAAACTGATTTTCGTAATGGCGTGCATTTATATCGCATTTGCTACATTGGTTCTGTTAATAAAGCTTGTTGGTTCCGGTGTTGCGCAGGTTGAATGGTAAGAAGATGTTGAGATTGTTGACGGGGAAGCGTGTGGTTTTTGTCGGCGATTCTCTCAACAGGAATATGTGGGAGTCTTTGCTATGTGTTCTTAGAAACTCAGTGGATGATAAGAACAAAGTCTATGAAGTTTCTGGTAGGCAAGAATTTCGCACAGAGGGCTCTTACTCCTTTGTGTTTGAGGTATGACAGTTTCGATTTCATAGCCTCAAATTCTTCCTTCTTACCTTTTGGCTTTGTTGGTCTTAAGTAATATTAATGTATTTGTTCTTGAATGGATCAATAGGAGTACAATTGTTCCGTGGAGTTCTTTCAATCACGGTTTCTAGTTCAAGAGTGGGAGATGCTGGAACCAAGTGGATCAAAGAAGGAAACGCTTCGCATTGATTTGATTGAGAGATCCTCTGACAACTACAAAAATGCAGATGTTCTCATCTTCAACACAGGTCACTGGTGGACTCATGAGAAAACTTCCAGCGGGTAATTCTCCTGCTCCAATTCACACTCTGTCATGGATTTTTGGAAAGTAGTCACTAGGCAGCGAAGCTAAAATATTTTTAAATCTTGCAGGAAGGGTTACTATCAAGAGGGTAGCCATATTTATGGTGAACTGAAGGTTGACGATGCATTTCGCAAAGCTTTAACAACATGGGCTAGATGGATCGACACCAATGTAAATCCTAAGAAAACTGCTGTTTTCTACCGGGGCTATTCACCTTCTCACTTTAGGTACATTTTGAAGACATGAAATATTTCACCTTGGTTAACAAATGTATTGCATCTTGCTAATTTTTTAACTCGCAGAGGTGGAGCTTGGAATTCTGGAGGGCATTGCCATGGCGAAACAAAGCCAACTACCAGCTTGGCATCCACAGAATATGGAGGAGAGTATCCAACAAACATGAAAATCTTAGACTCGGTACTCAAGGGGATGAAGACGCCAGTCAACTATCTGAACATTACAACAATGACTGATTTTCGGAAGGATGCTCATCCATCGATTTACAGAAAGCCGAATTTAACTGAGGAGGAGCGAAAACCGCCTATGATCCAGGATTGCAGTCACTGGTGCCTCCCTGGCGTTCCTGATACGTGGAACGAACTTATATATGCTCAACTCCTCAAACGTAACCAGAAACAACATAGACAGAAGAAAGAGCAAAATCAGAGGACAACTTCTTAAATATGGAGAAAAAAAATTATATAGTATACGTATTTGTTGGAAAGCTTACCATATGGAGAATATCGAACAAGTATGCTCGATTGTATGGATAGAAACGAAGGATAAGAGCAAAAGTTGTAGACTTGTTGTTAGGCAAGAGGTGGGGCAATGTGGTTTAGTGAAAAATTGTGTTTCCAGTTGTGGGATAGAGGTGGTGAGGGAAACAGGATTTAGCCCTTGCGTCCTCTCTGGTGCATTTGAAGGAGAGGCTTGAAAAATCGGTGACCCAGAACAGCGAGTGCTGGTGATCATGGTGGTCGCAGAAGCTGGTTTTGGTATTGAGAAGGTCATGAATATAAAATGCTGGTATAGTACTGGTTTAACGCCACAATGTGCAGTTGTGGTTGCAACTTTAAGAGCCTTAAAATGCCTGCGTGACTGAGAATGTGGCTCTGGCTGAAGCCGGTTACTTGAATTTTTCCCGGCATATCTCAAACACGAAACACTAGAGTGTAAGCGTGGTTGTTACTGCAACAAATTTTCGATTGATAGTGAAGCAGAACTAAATGCAGTTAGAAATGCAGCATTGTGCAGCCGGGGCATATGAGCACTTAATTATACTCATCATGCACTTTGTGGAAAAGAAGCGGTTAGTCACTTCATCCCATTAGTCTTATTATTGGCAAAAGGAATTGGAAATCAATTTCTTGTATCCGAAGAAATGAGTCACCATTAATATCGACACATCTGAGATCGCCAGCCCTTCGGGAGTTCCTCTATTGTCTTCTTGCTTGCATTGCAGATCCTACTAAAACTTTCAATCCCAGTTTTATACCGTGGTTGGAACAACGAGCACAATGCCGGATTCACATTGATCTTGACACCACCTATCGGAAATTAGGTTATCAGCCTTGCTTGAAAATCAATGTATATGGCTTTCATATGCTCACTGAAGCAACATTTTCCGACGTCCATCAAACGAAAGCCGGCCACCGTCTCTTCCCCCTTACAAATTACACTTCTGCAAACTTATGTTATTGTGCTCTTTGATTGCTATGTCAGTTTTTTGCATTACCAAATAACAATGTCATAAATAAAAACAAATTTTTGTGTCACCTTTTTTAGCTTTGTTATGTACAAATGCTGTTAAAATTTTAACACATTATAATTTCCTCCTTCAAACATTGACTCCACTCTTTTTTTAACTATTATTAAAAAGAGGGAGAAGATTCGAAATTATTACATTAATTTAAAGAATGAAAGTTTCAAACCCAAAATGCATGTGGGGTTTGAAGCGTCTCGGGTTCGAAACATCGAATCCACTCTGCATGCCACTTTTACTACGAAAAAGGGCACCACTTTAATTTTGTTTTACTGTCAATTCTTTCATGATTTCACTTTAATTACATAACATTTAATTGATAATACTCAAATGATAAAAATATTAATTCAATGTTACAGCATTTATCTTGGTATTCTAATGAAAGAAAAAAAAATAATTGAACTCATACTGCTATCACATTTATGATATGGATAAGGTATTTCACATTAGTTTAAGTGGGTATAATACTTGTATATAGAAATCAGACAACTTGAGTTTAATATTTATAACACTACTGTTATACTAATGTGAGTTTACTTCGTTAATATCACACTTATGAATGTAATATATCACAATCATAAGTTCAATGTATTGCTATCACACTCAAATTTTTTTTTTCTTACAAAAAAAAAAATGCCACTTGTTCATAAATTATTATTACATCTGGATTTTTTTAATGGTCAATTACATCTGCATTCTTATGTTGAAAAATAGCAACTTTCAATTTTCCAAAAAAAAAAAAAAAAAAAAAAAAAAAAAGCAACTTTCAACTGTGCAACTAGACTAACCGCCAAACTGAAAAGTGGCCTAGACAGCAGAAACTGTAAGGAAAAGCAACTCTTCCACCGACACGGGTCACAAGCTCTCAAACAATGGCGGATTCCCCAAGCCAGACAACCCCACAACCCACAAAGCACCGCCACTCCCCCACGATCCCAAGACCAGAGGCGTCCTCCAAACCCTCTCTTTCTTCCCCACTCTTCTTCCCCTCCAGAAGAACCGCCGCCTTTGCCTATGGCTTCTCGTTCTTCTGTATCGCTTGCACTTTCTTCCTGGTTTTCAACCCATCTGGCTACTCTTTCCCTTTCGGCTTTAAGAATATCTTCAAAACCCCTTTTGAACTTTCCCGGGAAACCCCATTTTCCTGGAAAGCTGAATATTTCCCGCGTTTGGATGAGAGTGGAGGTTTGCAGTCTGATCCTCCGATGGCTAGTGCGCAACGGCCGGACCCAATTCTTTTCTTGCCCCAAGAATCCAATCAGACTTCGTCCCAAAACACTACGATTCAAGTAACTGGGAAAATGGGATTTTCCGGGAAACTGGAGGGTTCAAGAAAAAATGAATCTTTTGGTAAAGATTCTGATGGGGTTTTGGGGCAAGCAGTGGCATTGACCTCGAAAAAGAGTGATGATGCTAATGAGGCATTGTCGGAATCTGAGAAGCAGAGCAGTCAAACTCAGCCCGCTTTTGAATTTTCGAGGGATGATTGTGACCTATTTGATGGAATGTGGGTGAGAGATGATTCGTATCCGCTTTATGCGCCGGGTTCTTGTCCTCTTATTGATGAATCCTTCAATTGTTTTCTTAATAAGAGGCCGGATAATCGCTACGAAAAGTATAGATGGCAACCCAAACATTTGCAATCTTCCAAGGTGCAGGGCTGTTTTGACTTCTGATTTAAAAGCATGTTTGTTTACACACTGTATTGCATTTGGTTTTGCTTCTAAATTAAGGTAATTTTGCATGACTAGTTCAACTTCTAAAGTTAGCAGTTTTAGGAATTTGTGCTTGTTATGGTTGTTTTTCATAAGTGCAAATTTACTTGTTTGCAAATTAATCTTGTGAGGATCAATATAACAATTACTTGTTATGACAGTTTAAAATTCACCCTGAATTTCTGTTTTTAAAAACAACGGAGTTTCGTTGTGTGTACTAATGTGTCTGCGTGTGTATGTTTATGTTTTATGCTTATGCATTCCATGTATCGTTTTTGTTGAATAAAGCTTGTTGGTTCAGATTTGGTGATGCTGGTTTCTGGTGAACTTTTTGTGCAGATTGGATGGTAAGAACATGTTGGGACTATTGAGAGGAAAGCGACTGGTTTTTGTTGGGGATTCTCTTAATAGGAATATGTGGGAGTCTTTGCTATGTCTTCTTCGAAATTCAGTGGATGACAAGAGTGGAGTTGTTGAAGCCTTGGGTAGGAGCGAATTTCGTTCAGAGGGTTCTTACTCTATCGTATTCAAGGTATGTTCACTATCCGTTGTCTCTGACTTGGAATTCATAGCCTGATAAATTCTTCCTTCTCTCCATTGGATTTGTTTCGTTGTTGAATTTCATTTTGACAAGAGTGAATTAGATAGTTCACAACACGAGACCCGATATAATTTGCTAATGACTTGAGATTTCCAATTCAAAAGTAGAAATATTTACATGTTTATTTTGCTGGAGTGGATGAATAGGAGTACAATTGCTCAGTGGAGTTCTTTCGATCGCCATTTCTAGTTCAAGAATGGGAGATGGCAGATGCAAATGGATCAATAAAGGAAACGCTTCGCCTTGATTTGATTGAGAGATCCTCCGATAAGTACAAAACTGCAGATGTTCTCATCTTCAACACAGGTCACTGGTGGACTCATGAGAAAACTTCCAGAGGGTTAAACTCATTCTCTCTCTCACTCTATGTCATTAATTAATTTTTGGAACTCGGAAATACTAAATGAATATAGGAATCTTGCAGGAAGGGTTACTATCAAGAGGGTAGCTACATCTACGATGTATTGAACGTTAAAGAGGCATTTCGGAAAGCTTTAACGACATGGGCAAGATGGGTGGATACCAACTTAAATCCTGAGAAAACTATTGTTTTCTTCCGGGGCTATTCGCCTAATCACTTTAGGTACGTAGACCACATCCAGTACTTTTTTACTTTTAAAACCTCACGGTTCGTTCACAAATATACAGGCATCTTCATAATCCTTTTACCCTTTGCAGAGGTGGAAGATGGAATTCGGGAGGGCAATGCCACGATCTGATAGAGCCACTTGCAAAGGAGACAACTAGAGGAAAATATGCATCAAAATTGAGAATATTTGACTCAGTAATCACGGGAATGAAGACGCCAATATTCTATCTAAACATTACGAGAATGACCGATTTCAGGAGGGATGCTCATCCATCGATTTACAGAAAGCAGAATTTTACAGAGGAGGAGAGGAAATCACCTTTCAGATACCAGGATTGCAGTCACTGGTGCCTCCCTGGTGTTCCTGATACATGGAATGAGCTTCTATATGCTCAGCTCGTTCGACATAACCAGAAGCAGCAACAACAGCAGCGTCAAGACCAACAGCAACAGAAACCCTAGATAAATGATTAGACAGATGCCTTGTATAGATGGGATCATGTCAAAATAGTTTTGGAGAAAATGTTTTCTGTTGTATCTTTCAGTAGAATTGTAGGAGGAAACAAAATGACGTGATATTCTTTGTAAAATCGAGTCTCGGTAATATAAGCTGATAACATCTTTGTGCAAATTGAAGTAAGATGATAATTGTGAGTTCTGTCATATAAGTTCAAAGATGAGATCGTTGCTCTCGTAGCCATGATCGTCACAACCATCATACGAAGCAAAAGCTTAGCTAGGTTTACGATTACACAACCTTGATTATTTCAAATAATGCTCAATACCAGAGTAGCAGAAGATCCATATTGTACGGTGTTAAATAAACAAACTGGTCCACATGAAGCAAGTGAATGAGATCCGTCAGTAGACTCAGCACAGCCTTAGGAGAAAGACTTAACTACCACCAAATAGGCGATCGTGATGGTATTCCAAACTAATTTCGTACTACATGTGAGCGATATTTATTTAGAAAATAGTCACAATGGCGTACACGTTACAGCTGTAAATCCTTCTCCAGCCCCCTGCAAAGAACACATGAAATATGCATATATGAATCTCTACGGTGTGTGTGAAGGAAATAAAATGCTCCAATGAAGCAAGTGAGATCACTCAGCACGGCCCCAGAAGAAAGACTTGCCTACACCGATTATGCACATCTGATCTGACCATTGTGTTAGTTTAATTTGTAGAAATGAAACTAGGGGTTTCAAAAATTGAGGAATATTCAGCAGCATAAAGGTGATGTTACCACTAGTTATAGAAACATGGGGGCCTTTGGATTGTTTGATGGATGTGTTTTGAGTCAAACAATTACTAGAAGAGCATAGAATATCCATTATGTTGGTTTATGATGAACTTTTGCAGGTTGGATGGTAAGAACATAATGGGATTATAGTGAGGAAAGCGCCTAGTTTTTGTTGGTGCGTGATTCTCTTTGAGGGAATATGTTAGATCATCCATCTGTCTGTGTCTTGTTAGAAGTTCAGTGGATGATAAGAGCGGAGTTGTTGAAGCCTCTTGTAGGAGCAAATTTCGTACACAAGGATCTTGCTCGTTCATATTCAAGGTATGTTGTTCATTAGCCATTTCGTTACAAGCAGAGTGAATGAGAAAGTTCGCACCACTGGACACAATTTGCTATAACTTGAGATTTCCAATTCAAACAAGTAGAAATTTATGTTTGTAGTGGAATGGATCGATAGGAGTATAGCCATTCGGTGTAATTCCTTTAATCACCATTTCTAGTTCAAGACTAGGAGATGCCTCCAAGTTAACTGAGTTTTTTTTTGCCATTCTTTGTAAGAAACTAATAAAAAGAGTTTGAAAACTTTCAGTTTTAATGATAAAGACAAAATAAAGGGTAAATTAAATAGTGCTAGAATTGACTTTTTAGTGTAAAAATGTGGTTTTTCGTTAAAATGAACAGTACCGTGGGCTTTTCATTAAAACTCCCTTCTTTGTAAGCTGAAAAAAACTCAAGAACAAGGACATGCAGAGACAGGCCTGAGGATACCCGCCCTGATACCATGTGGAAAAATGATAAAGGTGTGTGTGTGTGTGTGTGTACATATATATTCAATAACATTTCAATTATATGTCACACTGATTACAGTGAGGACGTCTAAGTAGCAACAAGGAGAAGATGTACACACCACAACTTTCTCCTTAAGTAAATGATTTCATGAATTAAGAGTGAAACAAATATAGATGAATTAAGGCAAATGATTTCATGAATAAGAGTGAAACAAATAATTAACTAGTTTTACATAACCTTAATTAATTTAATTAATATTCAGCTACCAAAGTAGCAGCTGATCCATATGAATCTCCATTAACCCTACGGCAGTTCAATCGAATCTCTCCATCAGTACCGGTCAAGGGGCTTATATTCCCCATTTTAATCATGGATTCCACGAAACTCTCAAAGAATGCGCTCTGATTAGTGCTGAAGTTGTTAACAATGCCGATGGTATCAGCCCCGCTAGTTGAAAACAGCTCCTGATCGCTTTGGAGCAAGCCTTGCTGGACTTGAAGATTCGAGAAATACTTTGCATCAAAAGTGTCGGGCGTTACAGGATCCAAATTGGTTAGCACACTGCTATTCCCATTCTGCGGGCATATCTGACTCAGTGTTTCTAAGTAGGTTGAGTTCAAGGTTGGATCAGGACTGCCTGTGCCGCTGAAGTTATACAATCGATTGGTGAAAGATTGACATCTAGCACGCCCAAATGTGTGAGCACCTGTCAATTTTGCATGTCAAATTTTGTTAATATAAAGTAAAGCAACATAGTGAAGATATTTTTTTTATTTTTTGTAGCCGTGCGATCTGCTTGCTTACCAGATAGTGCAACCAGATCAGTGGTGTTGAGGCCTACAGCTAAGAAGTTGGCCTTGAGTCCATCAAGTGTTAAAGTAGGAGCTGGAATGGCTAAGTTGGCAGCCGTGCGATTCGCTGTTGTGCTATCCCTTCTTCCTAATAGCACTGTCCATGAAGGACCTCCAGACTGTAACCATAGATTAATTACTCAATTACAAAATCTCATGACACAAAATGCTTTAAATTGTTGTTGAAGCTTGAAATGTATACCAAAGCAACAGATTCTTCGGCAGCAATGGCGAGAATATCAGCACAGGAAACGACGGCGGGACAGGCATTCTCCAATGCAGTCTTGATACTGTCCACAACATCAAATCCTCTGACTGAGTTGTTATTTGGAAATGCTGTTTTTTCGCTGTCTATGGTACTGGTAGAACTGGTACTGTTGTCCAACAGAATTGATCCATCGCAACCCTGAAATAGAATCAACAAGTTCTTTTCATCTCAAAATTGCACGTTTGGAATTTCACTTCTTCTGAAGTTCTATAAACAAAGAAGCAGCTGCTAATAAAAGCACTTTTGTGCTTAGGCATTGTTCCGAAGTCCTGTAACATAGAAGCTGCCATACATACAAAGTAATCCTGGTTGGTATTTCAAAGTTGAATATTTTATTCAGCTTAAATCTTTGAAAAACTAAAGCATTGCATCTGTTGTTATGATATATTTTCAGGGAAATTAATATTAATTCCATATGGATAAAAGGAAAACAAAACATGGCAGATCTTTTTGTGCTCCAACTACAAGTTCTATTGCTACATTTGAATTAAAAGGGTTCTTTACAACTATGCCAGTCAAAACTGTTGAGAATGAGTCTCATATTGATGGGGGAAAGAACCTTGCATGATCTTATAAGTAGTGGTTTATTTCTCATATTGCTAATTGGTTTTATGGTAGAACTTCAACTTTCTTAAAAAGCTATCTTAAATAGTCAAAACACTTAAATCTCCTTTCACTATACACTAAATAAGCATAATACCATAAATCGTACTGGGGCACTGACTACCGAGGCCATTCTTAAACCAAAATGCTGGACTGGAATTCGTGATAAGAACACCGGCCAAAGAAAGATTTGTAACAAACAAAGGGATCAGAAGCAAAGAAATGAATATACATTGACGAAGCAATCGTGGAAGTGAAGCCGAGTGAGGCTGGCAGCAATCCGGGGATCGGTCTGCAGAGCCTCTTGAATGACTCCACGCACAATGCTGGTGGCATTCGGGCATGATTCATCATAAAACGTAGGAGTCAACTGAGCACCACATCCTGCACTTGCACACAAGATTAGTAATATTACAAAATATATTTGTAACAAAATTGAGCGCTACAAGAAGAAGGCATTTTCTTAGGTGGTAATCGATTTTTCTAACGTATGTTCATTAATGCATATGTGAGCCAATTAGTAGGTCTATTTATGGAGTGACAGAAAGGGGATTGGCACCAAATTGACAAGCTTTATTGGATATAAAAATGAAAAGCATGTGTTAGGTAGATAAGTCGATCATGGATTTTAAAGGTCAAATTTAACTTTGATAAATAAATATCTAAGTCCCGTTAGCCCTTTACAACCATGATAAGCTGGAATCCAGAATGTGGTCCCTGGATGCAATATAATCTGCCATGTGGAGGATAAAATAATGAGCAGGAAAAAGTTGAGGTTTCAATTCAAAAAGCACCTAATAAGTAGGAGAAATTTTTCCAAGTGCCGGAACATCATGATACATGGTGTTCCTTCACACATTAGGATTTGACATTTTGAATATCCTTCAATTTTATATTTCAATAAATATATAAAACTAAATCCTAATGTGTGAGGGAACACCATGTGTCCCGGCACTTGGAAAAATTTTCCTAATAAGTAGAGGCGTATTGAACTTGAAGTGTGGGCAGATAAAAAACGTTTTTTGATCAATATTGTATTTTGATTGAAATTCAAGCTCCACATTAGAAAACCATGTAATAACCATCACTGCAAGAAAATGAGACAATATTTGCAAATTATCTCTTCTTATTAAAAATGAAAATGAGAGTAATTCTAACATTAGTTGAATAAGTGGATATATAAACTAATGAGTTGAACTAAAGAAGTATCAGAGATACCATTGCACTGTTAATTACACAAAAACGTATAACATCTCTAGAATTTAATGTATATATACTGGAATAGGATCAAAGGACAAACATGTTGACAAATATTTTTACACTTTTTATAAGCACCTGGATATTTATTTACATCAAACGCTTATAGTTAAAGTTAAGATCCTACTAAATGACGGCATTGCTTTAGGTAAAATATTTTGATAAAGGAATTTCATGAAGTTAAAATAGATCCAGCCTTCATCTTCCTCCTCTGCCATTTAGGTCAATAACTCTCCAACAACAAAAAAAAAAAGGTTTGCAATATGCCATTGACGAAATTCATCTTTAACTTTAACGCATCGAATATTTCTTAACATGGCTATATAATACCATTTGTATGCCAAGAAAAAAAAAGAAGCTAAAAGCAAATCCAAACAAGAATATATCTTATATCCCATTCTGAAAATTTATTCTATCTGCCAGGAAAATATGGGTTGCCTTCCTCATTCAATTACAATTTTCCTCCTGAAATAATATCCAATTAACCATCATATATCATATGGTTATTTATTTTGTAGAATTTTGTTGTAAAAAATCCATGTGATAAACATTTTACATGCATATATGGTTATTTGTTTTGTAGTTTTTGTTGCAAAAAATCCATGTTATAAACATGTTACATGCGTATTGTGATGACTTACCAC